TTGATCAAGATATGTTTTTCTTGTTTTTCCTCAACAGAGAAAGTGGAGGGCTGGATTATATCTTTAAGATCCCAAATGAAGTGAACCAGTGCCTTTCAGTGCATTGTAATGGGATTGCCTTGTACAAAAAAATAGCTTAGAGCCAGCAGAGGGAGCACAGATCATGAATTTATGCCTGGATCCTGGGAAAATTGGGGAGACATATGTGGTTAACAATTACTACAGTTCTTAAAAAAACAGGAGATTATTTCTTATCAATTTATGCCCAACTTGATTTGAGCTATAATATTATCCTGAAATAGTGACATTTTTACAACTACTGGTAAAATTTTACCTCTGTAATTATTGGTAGTTAAATAGAACTTTGTTCTAAAAAGACATTTAAAAATGGTTATTTGTGGGGATCACTATGGTTTATGTTCTGTATTATTAAATATATTTTAATTTAAAAACATTTGTAATTTCATCATATCAGAAATATTCTGGTTGATACTGTAGTAAATCCTGTTTGGACTTAGCTCAGAACTAAAAGGGACTGTAGCTTCAAATATTATAGGCTTTTAAAATCCCATTTAAGTGATACCTCATTTATCTAGCAACCCTGAGAATTATGGAGTTCCACATATTTTCCAGATAACAAAAGTATGTTTTATGAAAGCACTATCTTAAAAAATGCTTTGAAAGTATTTCAGCCAAGACATCTTGCTGTTACAGACTCACAAGTTTGTAAGTACAAGACTTGGTGCATGTTTGCATCCATTTCTGGAGGCTGCAGGGATATTGCCATTACTTGGACTATTGTACTAAACAATAATGAAATATTGTTTGCTTCCACTTTGATCTCAAAATCTTTTCTTGTTGTTGGGATTTTTTGTGTGTGTGTGTGTGTGTTTGTGTGTGGGGTGGGGGGTGGGGGGGTCCAATATTAAGTTTTCCCCATTTCCATATATTTCCATCCTGGTTTCCCCTTCTTCATTGATTTTATTATGTAGAAGTTTTGGTTGAGGAAGGTAATAACTTAGCTTGTGTAGAATTGTGTTAAGTCAGGTTCATAAGACTCAGAGTTGAATTCACAGCTCTCTCTTGGGCATTGATAACCACTTTATGCTAGGAAATCTTTCTCTGTTTGTGGTTTGGGTTTATGTCTTTAGACGAGGGAAAGGAGGCAGGCCTATATTTGAGGATGAGTCTGTGGTAGAGGTGGGTTTCCTGTGAAGTTACTATAAATACACATATTTAATTTGTTAGGTTTTTAAGATATATGAAAAGTAAGTCAAAATTAGGGAAAGTTGAGATAAATTTGAGATAAATTAAATTACCAAGGTTTTAGTTTACTTAGGTCATTCTTACAGCATTTCTGACCAAATTTGGTCAAAATTAGAAAAATCTGCTTAATAATCCTTTTACTTATTAGATATTTTCCCACTGAATTACTTTAAAGTTAAAAACAAAAAAATTTGCATGAATGACTGTGAAAAATACAAGTAATTATAAACTTAATGATTGAATCTCTTTTATTTTCACTCACTTGTGTTTTTGGTATAACTACCAAATTATATATTAACAAGTCATGTATTTTAGCCATTATTTTAAAAATATTTTCCCTCATAATAATTACTATAACATTGTTTTTAAAGTTATTCATCTTTCAGTTTTCATTCTATGTCTTCCTTATTTAGTTACATTAACCAGGATAAATTCATTTCCAGGTATATTTATTGCTTTCCCTTTTTAGTTTGGGCATTTATGCCTCTTAGTTTTGCCAAATACTATGCTACAACTGACCACCCAAGTTCTTTGTCTCAAAAACTTCTGAAATTTCATTTATTCCAGGAAATGTATGGAAACCAATTAGAAAACTCTTACTGATTTCCCTCTTTATACATTATCCTAATTTACTTTTACCTTGTTACTTCCATAACCTTTAATAAATACATTTTTATTGATTTTGTACAGAGAGGAAGGGAGAAAGAGAGTTAGAAACATCGATGAGAGAAGAGTCATCGATCAGCTGCCTCTTGCACACCCCCTACTGGGGATATGCCCGCAACCAAGGTACATGCCCTTGACCGGAATGGAACCCGGGACCTTTCAGTCGCCAAGCCGATGTTCTATCCATTGAGCCAAACCGGTTTCGGCTACTTCCATAACCTTTAAAATAATTTGTACATTAAAAATATACACCCCCTAATGCACTTCACTATAATGTTCAGTAATTCTTTTAATCAGCAGTTTTACTTCAAGGAATAGTCTCTCCCCTCTAGTAGACTAAAAATTGTGTACCAGGGCACTCATTGCAGTGCTATTTATAATACAAAAAACTGGAAACATTGCACTGATTGGTAGTGGTCAAATTTGGTATATACATAAGCTTAGTATCAAGTAACTGGCACTAAATGTTGACTGAATTAAGGAATATATTGTTAAGTAGAAAAAGTGCAGGTACAGAACAGTTTATATTTTGTGGAATAAAAAAAAGATGGATGTAAATGGACAGTATTCATTTATTCCTTGATGCATATAACATTTCTAGAATCGTATACAATAAACTGCTAACATTAGTTACCAATGGGTGATAGGAATGGGCTTGAGTAGAAAGTACAGTATTTATTGTTAACTCCAAAAAGGAAAAACAAAGCAAAGCAAGACTAACTTCAAATGGAGTTAATGAAGTTAACTCAGAAAAATGAGGTGATTGCAAAAAATGCACGTACCCTAATCGGTTGAATCTTGTTTTCTACTTTTTAGATAACATTTTCATTCCACTCTTCTTACTTTCCCGTCTTGCCTGTGAATTGCCTTCTATTGAGAAATGCCTTTGCTCTTGCACAAATCTTTTCCCTTCAGGATTCTATGTAATATCTAATGCCTTCATGGATAGACTATTTCATTTCAAAGAAATCTGTCTCTTAGATATATACTTAGTTTTAATCAGTATACAATTTCATACTTATTCATTCAATAATTATGTCACTTAATTATTTTTCTTCCAACTGTATTTAGGTATAGATTTAGAGAAGTTTCTTGCCTCTATTAATTTGCTTTGGGTAAGATCCAACATTACCAATTAGTGTTCAAGGAATTTTTATTCTTTATAATGTTAAAACTTAATCTAGAAAAAATGCCTAGTGACCTTGTTTCCAGTGAATATCCCATTTAAACCATCTTAAATAGTTAGCTATATTCCTAAAAAGATATTCAAAGTAATATTTTATTTAGCAGGATTTCACTAAGGCATACTAGAGTAATGTTTTTGACATTTTAAAAAATTATTAAAAATCATACCTCAAATTTATATGGAAAAGTACATGGAATCAGAATTGCCTTTATTTTTAAGTGTCATCTAACCCAAAGAGGAATTTATTACTCATTAGCTATAGTAGCTTTAATATCATAAGCACATAATTATGTATATTTGAAGCATCCAGGATTGTTTTGTCTTCTTGGTAAATTGGCTTTTTTATCATTATAAAATATTACTATATTTAATAATAATATTCTTGTTCTGAAACCTACCATGTCTAATATTAATTTTATTTATTTTAATTTAATTAATTTAGTTATTTTAATATAATTGGAGTCTCTGTTTTTGTTTTTGTTTTCAGTTTGTTTTCCTTGCTGTCTACAGAACCACTCCAGCTTTCTTATGACTAGGATTTATACCATTTTTATATTGTTTTAATGTTAACTTATCTGTATCTTTAAATTTACAACTGTTACTCTTGTAAACAGCATGTAATTAGGTCTTGCTTATTATTCAGTTTGACAATCCCTGCCATGTCATTGGAGTGTTGAGCCATTTATATTTAATATAAATTAGCTTTATCCTTTGAATATTGATCTTTTTAGATTTGTTAGGGTAAATTTGAGAATACAGTAATTATTACTCTGGGTTAGATGAACTCTGCTTCTAAAAGATGGTCTTTCTGAGAATTCAACTGAATGCCCATGTTCAGTTAGTTTTATCCACTCTGGCTGGTGGGAACTCCAGTATCCCTCAGCCTTTTGTGACCTCCAAAAATCCCTGTGCAGTTTTCAGCTCCTGGGTAGTTTAACCGCCGCACTTTGTGGGATTTTTCTCTGTACTTTACAGCTTAGTGTTTAGCCAAACACTAAGGAAGAGCCTTTGGCAGATTTCTGGACTCCCTCTCGCATTTCTCTTCCATCTAATATCTGCCCTGCAAATTCTAGCTGCCGCAGCAGCCTCAAATTCATATCCCTGTCTTATCAGCTCAGCACAATATTATTGAGTGTACTGTTTGGGTTCCACTATTCTGAACTACAGTCTGGAATGTTCCTCTAGGCAGAAACTCACCATATATAGATCTCTCTCCTTTTAGGGGTCAGAATCTTGCACCTCAGATGTTGTACAACATCTGAAAACAGTGGTTTCATATATGTTGTCCAGTTTCTTAGTTGTTTTCAACAAAAGAGTTATCCAGTATCAGGTAGTTGACCATTGTCAGGGGCAGAAATCTTATAATATGTATATTTAAAGTTGTTCTTTTTGAGAAATAAAAATATAAAGCTATAAAATTAAATCATAGACTCTATTATATTAAATAATCTAATCCAACACAGTTAATTAAAAGATAAGAAAATTGAGATAAAACAAGCTGATGTGACTTGTGATAAATTGCACTGTGAGTTACTCATAAAGTCATTTTATAACCCAGGTTTTCTAAATGTTTGTCTACTGTTTTTCCCACTTTAGTAATCTTCTGAAAATTTCTTAGATGTTTGAAATATAATTTTAACTTGTCAATTTTTTTATACTTCAGAACCCTTATACTTTAAACATTCTTCTCACTTCATTTTTGTCCTATCAATAGCATTGTTAATCTTGCTATTAATACAAGCATGAAAAAAAGAATCCTTACAAGTGTGTTTTAGAATGATTGACATTCTGTGGAAATATATAATTCCATGTAAGACCTAGCAAAGAAGACACTTAGTTATTTTAATATAATTGGAGTCTCTGTTTTTGTTTTTGTTTTCAGTTTGTTTTCCTTGCTGTCTAAAAAACACAACAAAGTTCTGGAACAAGCTACACAGTCTTTGAGAGGTTCGCTAAGTTCCAATGATGTTCCTCTACCAGATTATGTAAGTAGTTACCGTTACTTTGGCAATAAAAAAGTTTCCCTTTCATTGCTAAATGTGTAAATAACAATACCTCTCTCTTCTCAAGATCTGCCTGTGATCCTGGTGCCCTAGAAATCTTGAATGCACAAATGAATGAGTGACATCATAAGTCAAGGAAAAACATTTTAATGATTAACAAATGGTTGAAAAAAATCAACCTAAACCAATGATTTTTTATAATTAGAACTCTTATTACCTTAGTCAAGAAACCCTCTCAACGGAATCACAGAAAAATAAAAGGAGAGTTTTTATAGGAAGTATGCAAAGGTTTCTCATTCAAGGGGAGGACCTACACACGGATTTCATAGAGAACAAGAACCTGATATTGAAAAGCTATTGTATTCAAGAGTATACTGTCTTTCTGAGGTCCTTTCATTTCTGTTCTCTGCTGCTTTTTGCTTCAGTTTTATTCTTCTGCTTACTCGAGGCCAGGTTTCTCCATTTGCTGACTGAAATAGCAACCCCAACCCTTCCTCTTCTACCTCCTGAGCCATAGCATGTCTTTGTGTGTGTCTGCCATTAGCACACTAAGCAGAGTCTTCAAAGTCCTGGGACAGAGACTCTAATTGGCTCTGCCCAGGTCAGGTGCTGCTCTAGCCCCGTCAGCCATGTCAGCAGAGAACAGCAGGAACATCTGCCTTAGTTCTTCCACTTTAAAGATGAAGAACCTGATACCACGTGATGGAAACATCATAAGTAATAGGAAGGTGAATGCATTATGAGTTCAGAGATAGGGCAGTACCACTATCTGTGACATTTCTTATATTTTGGAACATGGCGTAGTTGAGGATGCTCAAAATTATCTTGTTATAAACCACAGAAGTAGTTCATCAAGCTCTATCTAATAGGACCTCTCTGAATCCCCAGACAACAACTTAGTGGGTTGATATTTAGAAACTTTATGAGAGAATTTTTAGATTCTGATTTTGAAGTGGCGATGCAGACCAGACAGCCAGAGAGTTGTTTTGCTTATTTCCTGTGGTTTGTTTCATTTCTAAATGGTTGTGCTGATATGAGACTGTGGGAACAGCACCCAGTCCGGATAACAGTCGCTGATAAACAGAGATAGCTGTGTGCAGCCACAGCCTGACTGGGCTATTTTTCTTCTCGTTTATTTATTTTGTGTGTGTGTGTGTGTGTGTGTGTGTGTATGAGAGAGAGATAGGATCTGTCATCCCATTAAGGTATTAAGATTATAATTCCAAAGTACTTCCCTCTCTTTCTCTCTCTCTCTCTCTCTCTCTCTCTCTCTCTCTCTCTCTCTCTCTCTCTCTGTCTCTGTCTCTCTCTCTCTCTCTCTCTCTCTCTCACACACACACACACACACACACACTCACACACAAAACATTTATCTTATATGGTCTTTCTGTTAGTTGAATATTCTCAACTTTTAAAAAATTAGTATAATAGTGCACTTACTTCTATCCTTGCCATGACTTGTTATAAGGAAACTGTGTCTTCTTAATGGCTGCTTGCAACCCTGTAAAGCTCAGCGTAACAGTGGGGATTGTGCTTTTTAGGAGTTTGAACTTGGTTCATCTATAAGTGTTTTGTTATTTTTGTACAATTATCATTTGATTTACGTAGTATTTCTCTGTTGTTACTCCACACAAAAAATGTATACACTCTTGAGATTGTCTTAGCAGCATTTCCCTTGAATAAGAATCCATAAAATGATATTTCTTTGAGAAAACGGGTCATATTTCATAGTATTTGCCAATTATGGAGGTGATGGTGCAATGAGGGGATGCTGAACTCTAACAGATATATGAATTCTCTTATTGAACATCACAGTTTTTAGAGTCCCTGACTGTTTTCTTCTCACATGAAATTTCACTGAGTAAACATGAATTTCTTAAAGCATCTGCTTCCTGGAAATACTGGGAAAATTCCATTTGGAATCTGTCATTAACTATCCTCATTTTAATATGAACTTGAATTTTGCTGCCTTTCCTCAGAGTTAATTAAAGAGGTGGGTACCACTGATTCAGCACTAGTCACTACTCCTCTCCTCTGCCACTGGGCTGAAGGTGATTGAAGAAAACAGCGAACTTAAAAGTTAGCGCTGCCCTATGTTCTTCTTCTGTGATAACTCAGTGTGTGTTTTTATTCACCAGTCCCATTGCTCAAACACTATGAGTAAGTGTTTTACACCTTTGAAACCATGACTTCATTGTCATCTCTTTTAAATTCGTCATTAACTGGGAAATAAAATATGTTTTTCCTTCTTCTTCCCCAGAAATTTTACTTTGCCAACCAACCACCACATAAAATTTTGTGATAAACACCACATAAAATTCTGTGATAAAAAAGAAAATGGAAGGGTCTTAAGGCAGCCGTGGGCTCCTTGATGTATACTTGCTACACCAGATTGGATAAACCATATTAGCACAGATTTTGAATAAAGTGCTTAAAATAAGGATGTGTTTTTATTCTCACTGTAGTACATAGAGTACTTTCAGTCTACCTAGAGGTTTCTGAGTTTATTAAGAAAATGTTTATTCTCATTATACTGTATAATTCACAAGCCAATTGAATAACAACATAGAAAGCAAATAACAAGTTACAAAAACATTAGTATTATTACTCTAGTACAACCATGTTTGCCTAAATGTGTCAGGGGAAACCTCAAACCTTCCACCACGTTGTAGATAAGGAGGAAGTGCCCCGGCTGCTTTAGGGAAACACAGATTACACTCAGGTCCTCTGTGGGGCGAGAGAGTGGTGGCTGGCTCTGCAGGCTCTGTGGGGCAGTAAGGTGTTTAGGAAGCAAGTGAAGTTCAGTTGACTTGGCTAAGCTTCAGTGTCTTTATATCAGGGTTTCATAAAATTTAATTCAGTGACTAGAGGGACAGAGAATTGTTAAAGAAGACTCAACAATTTTCTTTAGAACTCTGGTCATATACAGTAGAACCTCATTATAGAAAATAAAAGGAAAATAATAAATGATTTATACTTGCTTATTAAACTATAACCATGTTTTTTAATTATGAATATTGTCATAATGTCATATAAACTTAGTTTTCCTAATTTCTAACAATCACCTTAGCAACTATTTGAGATTAGAAGAATCTAACTTGTATTTTAGGTGTAACCATATAGGACCAAGTTATATTTATTGCCCTTTGATCATCAAAGGATTTTTAAAAATATATTTTATTGATTTTTTTTTTTTTTTACAGAGGAACAGAGAGGGATAGAGAGTTAGAAACATTGATGAGAAAAAAATCATCGATCAGCTGCCTCTTGCACACCCCCTACTGGGGATGTGCCTGCAACCAAGGTACATGCCCTTGACCAGAATCGAACCTGGGACCCTTCAGTCCACAAGCTGATGCTCTATCCACTGAGCCAAACCAGTTTCGGCCATCAAAGGATTTTTTAATCTTTCCTTAGGACAGACTCTTCCATTTCATTCCAAGCAATAAAATGCAAAGACACAAGCCAGAACGAGCAAGAGCCAGAATCAGAAAAACCCATTTCCTTTCCTTATTGCAAAGCTAAGCAACATTTTCCAACACCCTTGCATCTTGACAGGGGGTGGAGGGAAATGTCCGACTAGCTCTCAGTGGGGGGATGTAGGTGGACGTGCTATACCCACTGTACCATCTTACACATTTCCCTTCCCCTCATCATCTATCTAGATGTGGGAAATCCAGTGTGAGGGAGAACCTGATGTCTTAAAATCATCTCATGGAAGGCAAACTGGGTATGTTGGAATGTGATGCAAAGCAGCAATAAAGCTTTACTATATTTAAAAAAAAAATCAGGAGAAACCAAGGTGGCGTCATAGGTAAACACCTGAAATTGCTGCTTTGCATAACAACTTCAAAACTACTAAAAGACAAAACCGACATCATCCAGAACCACAGGAAAGCTGCTAAGTGGAAATTCTACAACTAAAAGGGAAGAGAAAAACACACTGAGACTCAGAGAACCTGCAGAAGTAAAGTGCAGAGGTACAGAGATGCGCACATGTGTGGAGAGGGCTGGCAACTGATTACGCGGCTAGCTTTTTCAATGCAGAGGGAGACAGAAGATCCCGACTGCTCTGAACTCTAGTTCCGGGCAAGACTCTGGGGATCCAGACTTATACGGGGAGAAACTGGACTGTCTGGCTTCTGATGGAACTCGAGGGTGGCTATCTCTCAGACGTGCTTGCAGCGATTACCAAGGGACATGGGGGGCTCTTACGACAGGGCTGACGGGAAGCTATTGCTGTTTACTCCACTCTGAGACTCAGCCCCATCCAAGCTGTGTACAGAGGCTTTTGCATATGAATGGCCAGGTCCTTTGAAGTCTATAAACTTACCTAGCAAACTGCAGCTGAGTCAGAGAGATCCAGAACATCCAAAAGAAGGCCCAAGGCCCCACAGCAGCTTGCATTACTTCACAGCTGGGCCTCATGGGGGCACCCCCAAAACCCAAACAAAGAAGAGGAATCTGCAAATCTCTCTGTAGTTCCTGCTGGGTGGCCTCAAGCAGAGGCTAAATTAGCACCTCCTTGGAGATCCAAGAGCCATTGTACCCAGGGGTCAGAGTAGGACCATCCAGATTACAACTCCTCAGATCCATAAGGGACATACTCAGAGGGCAGACTCAGTGAGCACCAAAGGCCCACTAAAGCAAGTCTTGCCTCATAAGGGTGTCTCCAGCACAGAAGTTCTCCCATTGTAGACACAGCTGATCCTCACAGCCAATTGGCCTAGAGGTCAATTCCTCCCAGTGATACCGACAACAAACAAGGCTTAACTACAAGACTGCGCACACAGCCCACAAAGGGGTGCACCAAGAATGTCCACCTCAGGTAACTGAAGAGGCTGAGCCACTGGGCCCTATAGGACACCTGGCACACAAAACCACTCTATCAACTCAGGAAAGCAGCCAAAATGCAGAGACAAAGAAATAGGTCACAAATGAAGAAATGGAGGAAAGCTATTTACTGTATATAGAGTTCAAAA